TCCTCAACGAGCCGCTGTCCAGGCCCTCGTTGCGGTAGGCCAGGACCCGCATTTGGCTCTGCGGGTGGCACACGCAGCCGAACACGGGCGAAAGGCGGATTTTCTTCCATGACTCGTTGCAGTGTTCGCTGGGAGAACGGGAGGGACGGGGTTAGAGGCGAGTGGATGAGTAGGTGGGGGGTGGATGAGTGGGTGGGTGGGTGGATGAGTGGGTGGGTGGGTGGATGGATGAGTGGTTAAGTAGGTGGATGTGTGTGTGGATAGGTGGGTGGGTTGGTGGATGGATGGATGAGTGGATGAGTGGATAGGTGGGTGGGTAGATGGATGAGTGGGTGGGTAGGTGGGTGGGTGGGCGGGTGGATGGATGAGTGGGTGGGTGGGTGGATGGATGGATGGGTGAGTCGGTGGGTGAATAGGTGGGTGGATGAGTGGGTGGATAGGTGGGTGGGTGGGTGGATGGAGGGATGTATAGGTGGATGGGTGGATGGTTGGGTGGGTAGATGGATGGGTGAGAGGTGGACGGGTGGATGGATGGGTGGGTGGATGAGTGGTTAGGTGGGTGGATAGGTGGGTGGGTGGGTGGATAGGTGGGTGGATGAGTGGGTGGATAGGTGGGTGGGTTGGTGGATGGATGGATGAGTGGGTGGGTGGGTGGATGAGTGGGTGGATGGGTGGATGAGTGGGTGGGTGGGTGGATGGATGGATGAGTGGATGGATGGATGGATGGATGGATGGATGGATGGATGGATGGATGGATGGATGGATGAGTGGGTGGGTGGATAGGTGGATGGATGGATGGATGGTTGGGTGAGTGGGTAGGTGGATAGGTGGATGGGTGGGTGGATGAGTGGGTGGGTGGGTGGATAGGTGGGTGGGTTGGTGGATGGATGGATGGGTGAGTCGGTGGGTGAATAGGTGGGTGGATGAGTGGGTGGGTAGGTGGGTGGGTGGATAGGTGGGTGGGTGGATGGATGAGTGGGTGGATAGGTGGGTGGATGAGTGGGTGGGTAGGTGGGTGGGTGGATGAGTGGGTGGATAGGTGGGTGGGTGGATGAGTGGATGAGTGGTTAGGTAGGTGGATGGTGGGTGAGTGGGTGGGTGGATAGGTGGGTGGATGAGTGGGTGGATAGGTGGGTGGATGAGTGGGTGGATAGGTGGGTGGGTGGATAGAGGGATGAATAGGTGGATGGGTGGGTGGGTGGATGGATGAGTGGGTGGATAGCTGGGTGGGTGGGTGGATGGGTGGATGGGTGGATGGATAGGTGAATGGATGAATGGATGAATGGATGGATGAGTGAAAGGAAGGGTAGATGGATGGATGGATGGATGGATAAACAGGCAGAAAGATATACATTGTTCACTTGATTAAAAACAATAAAAAAAGTAAACTAAAAGAAACGTAAATGAATTTGAAATAAATATTCAAAGATAGATAAACAGGTTAAAAGATAGATAGAAAAATTAACTGTAAGAATAAGATAAATAGATAGATAAGTGAATAGACAATAAAAGATTAGATAGATACTTAAAATAAGACGAACGTGGACGAACAGAAAGAGGAAGGTGAATGTTTGACGAAAATATGTAAATGACTGTCTGAATAAATTTTACATGTCATATCCTCTGCTTATGCTACATGAGTTAGCCAATTTGAAATAATTTCGTTATACCACAAATGACATAAATTAATGCATGAATAAAATATAATATGCTTACACAGATGTCATGCACTTGATTTCATGATACAGAAATAGCAATTGATAATAGTAATAGTAAGAAAATAATAGCAGAACGCCAACAAACAGAACCCAGCAGCGACAATAATAGAAATAGCAACAACAATAGTAGTAGCACTGGTGCCCATAATAGTAGCAACGTAATGCTTAAATTGATGATAGAAGGAATAAATATAGTATCAGTAGTATCAGTATAAATGCAGAAAATAATATCAATGACGATTATAAGGAAAATATGATGATAACAAGAATAATACAACTAGCTACAAAAACGACAACTACTATCATTGACACCACTACTACTGCTACTGCTATTACTGCTTAGAATAATAATGATAATGGCGACAATATTATCTGTGTATGCGTGCATGTGGGTGGGTGGGTGTTTATGTGTGTGTGTGTGTGCATTAATATATATATACATATATATGTATATATATATATATATATATATATATATATATATATATATATATATATATATATATATATATATATATATATATATGTATGTATGTATGTATGTATGTATATATATACATACATACACACATGCACACATATGGAATGGAATATAATGGAATATAAGAATGAATGAAATACGAATTCAGAAAGCAGTAATAATTACGGAGTTTTTGAGAGGCACGTGATCCCGTCGGAGGAGCAAGCACTTAGAAAATCCAAGTAATCGCGTGTGCAAGACTGCGAGTCGAAGCAGGTCCTGTAGGCCTCCTTGCAATTGGGCATCGTGGAGTGGCTCTTTT